ATGCTCTGTGTGGGCAGAACTAACCATTTCCCAGCACCATTTTCCTCAGTTTAAACCACCACCACCATCAACAACAACAACCATGCACAAGAAAGCTTACACCATGGATAAAACTTTATTGGTTTTAAAGGTGCCACTGGACTCAATTTTTGTTCTACCACCCAACACTGTTCAAGTCATAGCAGAAAAAAACAGTGAAGCTAATAGCAAGGGGGAGGGGAGATAAATTAGATCAGGATAATTGCATGATTTAACACACACATGATCAGACTCAGAACTCACTAAAGTATGCTGTCAAGTCAAGACTGACCCATGGTGACCCCATGAAGATCTGTGAATCTGTGAATCTCCTGCATTGTGCAGGGGGTGACCCTGGAGGTCCCTTCCAGCTCTATGATTCTATGACCTACCTCATGCAGTCTTCAAGACAAGAGACAAGCACAGGTGGTTTGCCATTGCCTTGTTCTACACAGCAGCCCAAGGCTTTCTTGGTGGTTTCCCATCCAAGTACCCACCCTGCTGAACTTCCAGGCTCTGAGAAGATCAGGATAGTTTGGGCTATCAAGGCAACTACCCACTACAGCTGAGCAGATTGCAAAGTGGGGCAATATTACAGTCACCATATTATAGATTTAGGATCATTGGCTAGGATTGGAAGAAACCCATTTACCTTATCCAACCCAGTGAATTAACAGAGAAGCTTACATTTGAACCAGGGACTTCTAGCATATGACTTAAAGCTGGATAACATTTCTAAGTGAATTGAAAGTGGTTTGAGAGAGGCTCCACTGTACACAATGCATTCTTCTAGGTGTCTGGCTCGTCTGTAATTAAAGAGGTTTCGCAGGTTTTCAAAAAAATGCAAAAGCCTCTCGAATGTATTTGCCGGAGGTGAAATAGGATGAAGTGTTAAGGTTGCCAGTAGGCCTGGAGAAAAACAAAGCCTGTCCCTTTAAGAGAGGTTTACTGGGATGTTGTTTACCAGGTGACTTTAATTGCATGCGATGATGAGCTTCAGTTGCCCACATCCTCACATTAAGACTTTATTAGAGGGACAGGACTTTTTCTCCAGTCCGACTGGCAACCCTATATATTGGTCACTAGACTCATACAAGGTTTACACATGAAGTAGTGGAAGGGACGGCACCATGCAAAAAGTAAGCTAGCATGGTGCAAAGATAGTTTCTTCCTCTACCTTTTGCTTGCTGTGCTTATTTTCTAGTTACAAGAAGATTTATAAAATGGGTGAACATTCCTTTAGGCTGTAGTGGAAGGTCATAGTTTGCAATGATCCCCTCTGTAAAAAAATCTGCTTGCCCCTAACCACAGTAGAATCCTGTAAGCCAAATCTCTTGAAATCTACAGAATTGTTGAGCTCAGAGTTTTGCCCTAAAACCTGGATGGCAGCAGGAGGGGAGCTAAGAGAGCACATGCAGTCATTCCTTACCTCCAAGCACCTTGGGGACACCTTGTGTTATCGGTGGAAAACATGCAAGGCAGTTGAAATGATAGAATCCATGTCCTGAGAGATCATGCCATGTACAACAAAACGCTGCCCAAGGGCTGGTTTGTCAGGATCCTTTTAAGAAAAGGAAGAATTGCTTGCTAAACCTGGTGCGAGGCATCCAAGATGCTGAAACTCGCCAACTGGTGGTATATATCGGCTTTGGGCCCCAGTGACTCTGCCCTTGTAGCTGCTGTGGGCGACATTGCATCAGGACTATTCTTGATCTTTCTCCCTCTGGGAATACAGTACCTACTTCAGATGTAATTCTCTTCTGCCGATATGCATCGGTCTAGAAACATCGTACAGAGAGAGATATTGTTACTGAACCCCTCTCTGGCCAGGGCCAATAGTTCATTTTTATGTAGTGCCGGGGGAGCAGAGAACCACTTGTGATTTGTTTCAAGATGTACTTTGGTCACATTAGAGTCACTGAGAAACAGTAATGCCAGGAAAAGGTGAAGGCAGCAGGAAAAGAGGAAGACCCAATATGAGATGGGTTGACTCTTTCAAGGAAGCTAGGGGTCTCAGTTTACAAAGACCTCAGTGAGGCTGTTAACGGGACAATGAGGTGTTATGTACTGAGCTTGTGTTTCAACTGAGTACAGACTTAGCTTCATTTACAGAACAATAGGGGACCAGGATCCTGGAAGGAACCTATTGTACAGGAATTCTTATGTAAATAGCCAATCACGAGGAGTGGGTGTGTGTTGGGTTTGGTGTTGAGCATGCATTTAAGCAGGGCCTCGGTCCTGCTTGGGTTGTCTTTAGTTGAGCTGAAATCACAATAAACTATGAGCTGATCATTCCATGTGTCTGAACCCAGTACATTTCACCAGGGATAGGAGACCACCCTTTCTTACATGTCCAGGGAAATGCTGATCACCACTTTCTGGTCATGAAGCAATTTCTCTCCGGGCCAGTTTGGCCAGGAATCCTGGAGGGTTGTGTTTTGTTTTTGTTATCTTCTGGGCATGGAAAAAGTGTTCCCTCTAAGCCGAGTTAGTATGAGCTAGCTCAGTTTTTTAGCTTCTGGCTCACACATTTTTGTCTTAGCTCAGGAAGGATGGCTCCAGGGCAAACTAATTTATGCAGGGGGCCATGGCTTTGGGGAGTATTTCAAGTATAGCTGATGTGTTTATTCATTGCCTCGGAAACAGCACAAGTGTAATGTCCAGAGAAACCTGACATTTCTAGAACTTTTTCCATTCATGGTTGTTATGTCCATGTGGGACATCCAATGACAGAATTATACAATTAAGTTTTAGAGTGTTAGGGTTTTCACCTTGCAGGGTTGAACGTTTAACCTGCATATTGCTCAACATGCATGGAATGTCAATAACTGTATCGTTTACATGATGTCTTGTTCCCAGGTTGCAGTCACACGTGGCAGATAAAATGGGGGGGGGAAGCGAGGCTATTCCCTCCGGAGGAATTTGACCCACAGTTGTGCGATCACACAATCCTTTGAAGCTGTGGGCGCAGCCCACCACTTTGTGATCAGATGCAGCCATGAGTGAGTCGGGGTGTTGTTTTTTGCCATTTGTTTCCAATGCACTTAAACGAGGAATCGATTATTGCAGGGCTCTTTTTGTAGAAAAAGCCCAGCAGGAACTCATTAGCATAATAGGCCACACCCAACAGCAGGAACTCATTAGCATATTAGGCCACACCCCTGACAGCACAGCTCATTGGCACATTAGGCCGCACCCCCATGTTACCAGAAGTGTGGTTATCCAGCCACACCCACCTTTTGCTTGTTATTCTGTTTACCTTGTTTGTTGTCAAAACCCAGGGCCGTTTTTTGTAGCAGGAACTTCTTTGCATGTTAGGCCACACACCCCTAATGTAGCCAATCCTAATGAGTTTCTGCTGTTGGGTGTGGCCTATTATGCTAATGAGTTCCTGCTGGGTGTGGCCAACTCAGGAGCCAGCCGGAACTCCGTTCCTGTGCGTTTCTGCCCAAAAATAGCCCTGGATTATTATACCTCCGCATTGAGGGCTCCCTATGAAGTGTGCGATAATGCGCATACTGAGAAGGGGGGGGACAATGGCACGGAGTCGGGATGGCCTGATCAGACCATCCCAATGTCATGAGAGTGCGCTGGAGTGATCAGACAGGGGTAAGTCCATCCGTGGCCCATAGGAACCGGTTTGCTACCGGACTTTCCCCAGTGCCTGTTTACTCCACTTCTGCGGCGGAGCAACACGGGTTGCTGACGGCTGCAGGACACTTCCCAGATGTTCATGTCTGATCGCACCCTTTAAATCTGACCAGCATCCGTGCCTATGTCAGGGCTAATTTTGTGTATGATCACAGCCCCAGTTAGGAAGGTTCTGAGACTGGTACCAAAGGCTAACAGGAAACCAGAAGAACCTCTGGAATCTTGGTTCAGGGAAGCTGTCAGAGCAATTGAGGCATCTCTGACCTCTACTTCCTGGACCTTGTGTGGCAGGTTAGGCTTTTGGGGGATCTAGGAAGCAGATAGCACTAGAGGATTTAGGATTGCCAACCCCCACCGGTTTGCCAGGGGTCCCCCATTTGGGGGGGTCTACCCGCCACCGGCCAGATGGTCGGCGGGGGAAGCCCCACCCCCAACACCCACAGCTACCCCTCTCTCTTCCTTTAACTGTGTGGAACCCGTGTTTTCTCCCAAGCCTGATCTCCACTTGAGATCAGGCTTGCAAGGAAATGCCAGCTTCATGTGCTTAAAAGGGAAACGCAGCTGCTCTTAAAGGGGAAACGCCAGCTCCTGCATTTAAAAGGGAAACGCCGACTCCTTTAAGTGCAGGGAACTGCTGTTTCTGGAGATCCGGCATACAGGCGGGTGGGGGGGCGGACGTCCCCAACGTGACGTCATCACGTCGCGGATGCCCCATCCCCTCCAGGAATGACCCCAAAGTCCCCCGCTCCCCGCTGGGGGTGAAAGATGGACTTGGCAACCCTAAGAGGATTCCTGGCCTTTACCTGTGGAACATCTCAGGAAGTTTATGGTGAGTTTCAGAGAGGTGGATTGGCAGTGAAGACAGACTTATCTAGGAGCACTGATGTTGCTGCTGTTCTTCACAAGGGCAGAGGATTGGAGTGTTTCGACCATGGACTTCAGAATCAGAAGAATGGTAGAAAGGTGGTCCAGGAAACAGCTGTCAGTGATAGTTCTGTAACTGCCAGTAAGTGGGACACACTGGACCCATAGGCACAAACAGATTTATCAGACCAAAAAGAATGTGATGCTTCTACACAATTTATTGAAGATTTTCAAGCTGAGAAACCCAGAGCCCCAAACCGGATCACAGCTCCCCTGCCCTCCCAGACAAATCTCAAACAAATTTCCCTCTTTTGTATGCAAAGAAGGCCATTTCCCCCACCATACAGGGTGCAAATTGCAATTGCTTGCAAAGAAACGATTTTGATTGAAATGAAGGCAGGTATCATTTTAGTGGCACAATAATCAGAGAAGCGTTGGAATTTCCTTCCGAATCACAGAGCTCAGAGTTAGCAGCCTGCAGTCCACTCTGCGAGATTTCGTCCTTCGCAGTTTTTTCTCCAAGCCACCCTAAAAGTCAGAGAGAGGGGGGGGAAATATGCATAATCACACAACTGTTCCTTTGATAGCTGCACAGGTATGGAGGGCCTCTTGAGAAAGAGTTTCAGATAGCTTTTGATTAAGGCATCTGTAATTCCTTCACTCAGTTAGTATGCCATAAAGTCATTGGCTGTGATCATACGGAGTGGAAGCTGCGGCAGGCAAACGATTCCCCCGCAGATTAAAGGGACGTGATCAGACAGACACATCTGTCTGGCGTCCCGGAGTCGTTGGCAGGGCATCTCGTTGCACCGCAGGATCGGCGCAAAAAACCACCAGGGAAACGTCAGTAGCATAGGGAACTGTGGGGTGGGTGGGCGGAAGTTTGATCGCGTAAATGCGTGTCAGTTTGCCCCGGGGCAAACAGCCTCACTTCCCGCCCGCAGTTCCTCGATGGTGTGATCGTTGCCATTATGAAGTATGTCTGTAAGATTTCTATTTCCAGAAACCTTAACAATTATGATAGATCAATTTTACATGCTTTCCTCCCATTTTCTTTCAGTCTGTTTACCCTTGTCTCTAGGGAGGGAAGGCAGCACAGCATAGCCTGTCCTTTTCAGGTCATGGAAGCACAGCTGGGTTGGCGTTTGAATCGGAGACCACCAAAGAAGACTCCGGGCTTTTCTGCATTCCCCTTTCCCTCGCTTGTTAGTGCCTGTTTCTTAAAGGTGGGGTTTTTTTCCTGTTCTGCACACGTTTTGCTCCCTCTAGTGGTTAATTCAATATTTCACCGGATTATGTCCAGCATAAAAACCTGCAGATTTAAACGGCAGGTTTTTATGCTGGACATAAACCGCTGTAATATCAAATTGGCCAGTAGAGGGAGCAAAATACATATGGAACAGAAACACCCGCCCAAAGAAACAGGAATTTACAAGTGATGGAAAAGATAATGCAGGAAAGCCCTCTGATGAGCAAAGCAATGGCAAAACCACTTCTCATTTGCCTACATACCATGAGTACTTATCGGCCTTACTTAAGCATTTCGTGTGTGTGTGTGTGTGTGTGTGTATATATATATATATATA